TTGTACGTGTGACTAGTTGTACTCTCGTGATACTGATATAATATGTAAAGCCGGTGTTAAAATTAACATTGGCCTACTGCTTGAACTAATAAAGTGCCAAAGGCCTAAGTGGTCACCTTAATATTTAAAAAAAAAAAAATTATTTTATTACATTTAATAATAGCCAATCAGAGCATTGCTTAGCACATGAGTATGAATAAATAATCAAATAACAAGAGCATATCTTTTGGTTCAAAAGCATACTCTATGCATGTCTGGGGATCATGCTCTGGGTTAATGGTTTGGGTGAAATTATATTTCTATTTCCGAAATATTTCAGATTTTAACAAGTAGTCCGAAATAATAATCCTAAACTCCGAAATCAAGATGAAAGTCCGATATAAATCCAATAAAAATCTGATATTCCGATAAATCTAATATAAGTCCAATATCATATTTAAGGCAAATGCGAATTTTTTTTACTATGACGAACTAACCATATTTGTAACAATATATTAATATTATAATTAAGTTCGCCAACAATAAAAACTTTAATATTCGCTGACAATTAAATTATATATTCTATTTAGTGCATAACTTTTTTTCCTATTTTTAAAAAAATGGACAAACAACTTTGTAAACTTGGTTACAATTATCAACATGGTATTGGTGTTAAGAAAGACGAAAAGAAGGCTTTTGAAAATTATATGAAAGCAGCCGAGTTAGGATACTGGTACGTATTAGAGAGTATCGAAAAGAACTTTATTTGAGGTCGACTTCTCACTTTTATTAATCCTATACTAATCTGGTACTTTTTTTACTAATCTAATGGTTTTTAGCTATCAAACAACACATTTTTAAGAGCGTTTATTTTCAATAATATAGCGAAGTAACCATTTATGCTCAAATCTATAATTATACTTTTTTTTTTTATATGTGTAACCAAACTTTTGAGATTTTTTTAATAAAAATTGATTCTGTGATTAAATATTGTAATTTATTATGCGCAAAAAACACATCTCTAGTATTTGTAAAATAAGTCTTATATCATATATGTATTTAATCAGTTGGGTAATGAGCAATAATGATCAATATTGAACGCCAAACTTTTATTAATCCCCAATATTTATAAATTTGTTGGTTAGATGCAAGAAAATATTTACAAACTATAACATCACATTGACCTCTCTTTCAGGATCCCAATCCTCCTCATCATTTTCTATATTATTATTCTGAACAATAATATTTTTTTCATCAGGAAATTCAAAATTAGTATCAACGATTAATTCACTAGATAATTTGTAAAAATAGTTGCATCAAGATCCAACAATTCCTCGATTTTTAATATTTTTTCTTCTAGCGGTATGAAAGTATCTTCCATTTCTTCATTAGTAGGTTCTTCATTCACTGGTCTTTCTTTATTCCCCAGTCTTTTTTCATTTGCTTTTTTTTTATTCGATAGTTTTTCTTCATTCAATGGTCTTTGTCCATTCGATGGTCTTTCTTCATTCACTAGTCTTTCTTCATTCGCTGGTCTTTCTTCATTAAGATGTTCATCATAATCATTATCATCATAAAAATTTATATCAGATAATGCTTCGTATAAATTTTTAACATTAGAAGAAAAATACGGCAGCTCATTCTTCAAATTTGCAAGATAAAAAGCAGAAAGCTTTTGCATGTTTTCAATTTTGTCTAAAGAAAGACGTGTATGACATTTTCCATAATACCACCCTAATGTAGACCAAATTCTTTCGCATCCGGCCGCATGTGGTGTTATAGAAAGTAGCATATGAGCTAATTGACAAATATGATTCTCATCTTTTAAAAAATAATCCTCCAATGATATCCACCAAACTGAAGGAGATTCATTATCATCAAATAGTATATCGAATGGTGCAATGCGATATCGGTAGCTTCTCATTTGAGACATTAGCATTTTTCTTTCTTTAGGTTTCTTATCCATTTTTTCATAGAAACTATCTGCCGCCAAAAGAATATGCTAAAACATTCCTCTTGCCCATATATCTGTATTAAGATAAAATTTAGTAAAATGTAAATCAGAATTAAATTTAAAATAAATAATT